ACCAATTTGAGAAGGAAAATGACATTGACCTACTTACAAGATCACAGGGAAAAATATGTCAAGCAACTTCTGAAGAAGAATCTAAAAGCATAGAATCTTATAATAATATTTTGCTGGTAGTTTCAACAGATGGAGCCAACAAAGTTTGCGAGGGAAATATTTTTAGTGCAATATAATATTTAATGAGAATATTTTGCTATGACTGCTTAAATATTCAGGTGAGCGATACAGGCCCTCTTGGACCTCTTGTTTATTATAGGTCTTGCTCATCCCTCTATTTGTGTTGTTTATTATAGGTCCTGCTCAGCCCTCTGTATGTGTTGTTTATCATAGAAACTGCTCAGCCCTCTGTATGTGTTGTTTATTATAGGGTCTGCTCAGCCCTTTGTATGTGTTGTTTATTATAGGGTCTGCTCAGCCCTCTGTATGTGTTGTTTATTATAGGTCCTGCTCAGCCCTCTGTATGTGTTGTTTTACATAGAAACTGCTCAGCCCTCTGTATGTGTTGTTTATTATAGGTCCTGCTCACCCCTCTGTATGTGTTATTTTACATAGAAACTGCACAGCCCTCTGTATGTGTTGTTTATTAAAGGGTCTGCTCAGCCCTCTGTATGTGTTGTTTATTATAGGGTCTGCTCAGCCCTCTGTTTGTGTTGTTTATTATAGGTACTGCTCAGCCCTCTGTATGTGTGTTGATTATAGGTACTGCTCAGCCCTCTGTTTGTGTTGTTTATTATAGGTCCTGCTCAGCCCTCTGTATGTGGGTTTATTATAGGTACTGCTCAGCCCTCTGTATGTGTGTTTATTATAGGCACTGCCCACCCATCTGTTTGTTGTTTTGTTATAGGTACTGCTCAGCCCTCTGTATGCGTTGTTTATTATAGGGTCTGCTCAGCTCTCTGTTTGTGTTGTTTATTATAGGGACTGCTCAGACCTCTGTATGTGTTGTTTATTATAGGTCCTGCTCAGCCCTCTGTATGTGTGTTTATTATAAGTACTGCTCAGCCCTCTGTTTGTGTTGTTTATTATAGGGTCTGCTCAGCCCTCTGTATGTGTTTTTTATTATAGGTCCTGCTCAGCCCTCTGTATGTGTGTTTATTATAGGCACTGTTCAACCATCTGTATGTGGTTTTGTTATAGGTACTGCTCAGCCCTCTGTATGTGTTGTTTATTATAGGGTCTGCTCAGCCCTCTGTATGTGATGTTTATTATAGGTACTCCTCAGCCCTCTGTATGTGTGTTTATTCTAGGCACTGTTCACCCATCTGTATGTGGTTTTGTTATAGGTTCTGCTCAGCCCTCTGTATGTGTTGTTTTTTATAGGTCCTCCTCAGCCCTCTGTATGTGTGTCTATTATAGGCACTGCTCAACCATCTGTATGTGGTTTTGTTATAGGTAAGTATCAGCCCTGTATATGTGTTGTTTATTATAGGTACTGCTCAGCCCTCTGTATGTGTTGCGATCACATCTTCCACGGCCCGTATTTGTCAAATTGGACACTCCAAAACTGAAAACACAACAACAGCTAGAGATCCCGGGTCAAGGGAGAGAACTACAACTGTACTGTTCTGGATCTGACGTATCTCACTCACTCAACTTTAAACTCAAGTTCGTATATTTTTCCGACATTTCAACTTTAACAATACGTGAAACATGAAGGTGTTCACACAGGAACATTTAAGAAATCAAAGTTATTTTTCCACCCTACCATCATCAGATAGCATGTGGGCTGTTCAATCACTATTTGTCCGTGGTCCATTGCCCTCTGTGTCTGTGGTCAGTAACTTGTGGTCAATTGTCCCTGTTTGTCCGTTGTCCACACTCTGTGGTCCATTGTCCCTCTTAATCCATGGTTTGCGATCTGTGGTCCATTGTTCCCCTGAGTCTGTGGTCGGTGATCTGTGGTCCATTATCCATCTGTGTCCGTGGTCAGTAATCTGTGGTCCATTGTCCCTCTGTGTCCGTGGTCCGTGATCTGTGATCCATTGTTCCCCTGTGTCCGTTGTCCATGATCTGTGGTCCATTGTCTATCTGTGTCCATGGTCTGCGATCTGTGGTCCATTGTCCATCTGTGTCCAAGGTCTGCGATCTGTGATCCATTGTTCCCCTGTGTCCGTTGTCCATGATCTGTGGTCCATTGTCCCTCTGTGTCCGTGGTCCGTGATCTGTGGTCCATTGTTCCCCTGTGTCCGTTGTCTATGATCTGTTATCCATTGTCCCTCTGTGTGCGTGGTTGGTGATCTGTGGTCCATTGTTCCCCTGTGTCCGTGGTCCGCAATCTGTGGTCCATTGTTCCCCTGTGTCCGTGGTCCGCGATCTGTGGTCCATTGTCCCTCTGTGTCCATGGTCCGCGATCTGTGGTCCATTGTTCCCCTGTGTCCATGGTCTGCGATCTGTGGTCCATTGTCCATCTGTGTCAGTGGTCTGCGATCTGTGGTCCATTGTCCCTCTGTGTGCGTGGTCTGCGATCTATGATCCATTGTTCCCCTGTGTCCGTTGTCCATGATCTGTGATCCATTGTCCATCTGTGTCAGTGGTCGATGATCTGTGGATCATTGTCCCTCTATGTGCGTGGTCGGGAATCTGTGGTCCATTGTTCCCCTGTGTCAGTGGTCCGTGATCTGTGGTCCATTGTTCCCCTGTGTCCGTTGTCCATGATCAGTGATCCATTGTCCATCTGTGTCAGTGGTCGATGATCTGTGGATCATTGTCCCTCTGTGTGCGTGGTCGGGGATCTGTGGTCCATTGTTCCCCTGTGTCCGTGGTCCGTGATCTGTGGTCCATTGTCCATCTGTGTCAGTGGTCGATGATCTGTGGATCATTGTCCCTCTGTGTGCGTGGTCTGCGATCTATGATCCATTGTTCCCCTGTGTTCGTGGTCTGCGTTCTGTGGTCCATTGTTCCCCTGTTTCTGTGGTCGGCGATCTGTGGTCTACGCGATCTGTGGTCCATTGTTCCCCTGTGTCCGTTGTCCGTGATCTGTGGTCCATTGTCCCTCTGTGTCTGTGATCCGTGATCCATTGTTCCCCTGTGTTAGTGGTCTGCATTCTGTGGTCCATTGTTCCCCTGTGTCCGTGGTCCGTGATCTGTGGCTATTATTCCCCTGTGTACGTGGTCAACGATCTATGGTCCATTGTTCCCCTGTGTCCGTTGTCTATGATCTGTTATCCATTGTCCCTCTGTGTGCGTGGTCGGTGATCTGTGGTCCATTGTTCCCCTGTGTGCGTGGTCAGTGATCTGTGGTCCATTGTTCCCCTGTGTCAGTGGTCCGCGATCTGTGGTCCATTGTTCCCCTGTGTCCGTGGTCCGTGATCTGTGGTCCATTGTTCCCCTGTGTCCATGGTCCGGGATCTGTGGTCCATTGTTCCCCTGTGTCAGTGGTCCGCGATCTGTGATCCATTGTTCCCCTGTGTCCGTTGTCCGAGATCTGTGTTCCATTGTTCCCCTGTGTCCGTTGTCCGAGATCGGTGGTCCATTGTTCCCCTGTGTCCATGGTCCGTGATCTGTGGTCCATTGTTCGCCTGTGTCCGTGGTCCGTGATCTGTGGCTATTATTCCCCTGTGTGCGTGGTCAACGATCTATGGTCCATTGTTCCCCTGTGCCCGTTGTCTATGATCTGTTATCCATTGTCCCTCTGTGTGCGTGGTCCATGATCTGTGGTCCATTGTTCCCCTGTGTCCGTGGTCGGCGATCTGTGGTCCATTGTTCCCCTGTGTCCGTTGTCCGTGATCCATTGTCCCTCTGTGTGCGTGGTCGTTGATCTGTGGATCATTGTCCCTCTGTGTGCATGGTCGGGGATCTGTGGTCCATTGTCCCTCTGTGTCTGTGATCTGTTATCCATTGTTCCCCTGAGTCTGTGGTCGGTGATCTGTGGTCCATTATCCATCGGTGTCCGTGGTCAGTAATCTGTGGTCCATTGTCCCTCTGTGTCTGTGATCTGTTATCCATTGTTCCCCTGAGTCTGTGGTCGGTGATCTGTGGTCCATTATCATCTGTGTCCGTGGTCAGTAATCTGTGGTCCATTGTCCCTCTGTGTCTGTGATCTGTTATCCATTGTCCCTCTGTGTGCGTGGTCGTTGATCTGTGGATCATTGTCCCTCTGTGTGCATGGTCGGGGATCTGTGGTCCATTGTCCCTCTGTGTGCGTGGTCGTTGATCTGTGGATCATTGTCCCTCTGTGTGCATGGTCGGTGATCTGTGGTCCATTGTCCCTTTGTGTGCGTGTTCGGTGATCTGTGGTCCATTGTTCCCCTGTGTTCATGGTCCGAGATCTGTGGTCCATTGTTCCCCTGTTTCGTGGGCCGTGATCTGTGGTCTATTGTTCCCCTGTGTCCTTTGTCCGTGATCTGTGGTCATTGTTCCCCTGTGTCCATGGTTGGCGATCTGTAGTCCATTGTTCCCCTGTTTCGTGGTCCGTGATCTGAGGCCTATTGTTCCCCTGTGTCCTTTCTCCGTGATCTGTGGTCCATTGTCCCTCTCTTCTGTGTCTGTGATCCGTGATCCATTGTTCCCCTGTTTCCGTGGTCCATGATCTGTGGTCCATTGTTCCCCTGTGTCCTTGGTCTGCGAGCTGTGGTCCATTGTTCCCCTGTGTCCGTGGTGGGCGATCTGTTGTCCATTGTTCCCCTGTGTCCATGGTCCGGGATCTGTGGTCCATTGTTCCCCTGTGTCCGTGGTCCGCAATCTGTGGTCCATTGTTCCCCTGTGTCCGTGGTGGGCGATCTGTGGTCCATTGTTCATCTGTGGTCCATTGTTCCCCTGTGTCCGTGGTCCGCAATCTGTGGTCCATTGTTCCCCTGTGTCAGTGGTCAGTGATCTGTGGCTCTTGTTCCCCTATCTGTGTCCGTGGTCCGCAATCTGTGGTCCATTGTTCCCCTGTGTCCGTGGTCCGTGATCTGTGGTCCATTGTTACCCTGTGTCCATGGTTGGCGATCTGAGTGGTCCGTGATCTGTGGTCCATTGTTCCCCTGTGTCCATGGTTGGCGATCTGTGGTCCATTGTTCCCCTGTTTCGTGGTCCGTGATCTGTGGTCTATTGTTCCCCTGTGTCCTTTGTCCGTGATCTGTGGTCCATTGTCCCTCTCTGTCTGTGATCTGTGGTCCATTGTTCCCCTGTTTCTGTGGTCTGCGATCTGTGGTCTATTGTTCCCATGTGTCCGTTGTCCGTGATCTGTGGTCCATTGTCTCTCTGTGTCCGTGGTCCGTGATCTGTGATCCATTGTTCCCCTGTGTCCATGGTTTGCGATCTGTGGTCCATTGTCCATCTGTGTCTATGGTCTGCGATCTGTGATCCATTTTTCCCCTGTGTCCGTTGTCCATGATCTGTGGTCCATTGTCCCTCTGTTTGGGTGGTAGGTGATCTGTGGTCCATTGTCCCCCTGTGTCAGTGGTCCGCGATCTGTGATCCATTGTTCCCCTGTGTCCGTGGTCCGCGATTTGTGGCTATTGTTCCCCTGTGCCTAACCTTATAGGAAGGTTTATACCCTAGCCCTAACCATATAGGAAGGTTTATACCCTAACCCTAACCATATAGGAAGGTTTATACCCTAACTCTAACCATATAGGAAGGTTTATACCCTAACCCTAACCTTATAGGAAGGTTTATACCCTAACCCTAACCATATAGGAAGGTTTATCCCCTAACCCTAACCATATAGGAAGGTTTATACCCTACCCCTAACCATATAGGAAGGTTTATACCCTAACTCTACCCATATAGGAAGGTTTATACCCTAACCCTAACCTTATAGGAAGGTTTATAGTCTAACCCCTATCCATCTGTTATTTTTAATCAGCCTCTATCTCCAGGAAGGTGTGCACATACTTACAGGTTTATAGGAGGCTAAACATAGCCACAGTTCATACCTCTTTTGACCAATCGGTCAGTAGTTTGCTCTAATAATAAATTCCCCATCATTGTGAATGGCGAACAAGGCAAAAATTAACCTGCAGTGTAATTTTCCAGTTAAACAATGGCAGCATGTTATATTGACTGTCCTATTTCCAGTAATTATGCTTTCTACCTCATTACCATAGATAATAACGTTGTTGTCGTCAATCTCACAGAAATGATGAAGATGAGACATCCAGCCAGGCCCTCGCACTGACAACTGGTCTGATCTCACAAGTAGAGCGGGCAGTGGTTGAAAAACAGGACACAGACAAACTGTGTCGGCTGTGGACAGTTAATCACCCTAAGGATTGGCCATACTGCTTCCAGAACAACGACAGGTAGGTAACTTAACATGTACAGTGGACAGTTAATCCCCCTTAGGATTGACCATACTGCTTCAGGAACAACAACAGGTAGGAAACTTAACATGCACAGTGGACAGTAAACCCCCTTAGGATTGACCATACTGCTTCCAGAACAACGACAGGTAGGAAACTTAACATGTACAGTGGACAGTTAATCCCCCTTAGGATTGACCATACTGTTTCAGGAACAACGACAGTTAGGAAACTTAACATGTACAGTGGACAGATAATCCCCCTTAGGATTGACTGAAAGCTTCCTTTGTTATAGCCAGACAAAGTTTGAGAACGAAAAAGACCTTGACATACTTTCAAGGTCACAAGGGTTAGATATGTCGAAAACTTCAAATGACTTCTAAAGAACAACTGAAAGGTATAGAATCTTAATATTTGGCTGGTAGCTTTTTAGGATGAAACTGGACAATCTGTGCAAATGAAAATTACCTTGACATACTTTCAAGGTCACAGAGGTCAAATATGTCAAACACTTTAATCGACTTCTTTTGAAGAATTGAAAGGCATAGAATCCCAATATTTGGCTGGTAGCTTCTTAGTTTAGAGCAAGACAGATTTGAGAAGGAAAATATATGTATACTCACAGTGTAGCTGTATGATAACTCGGTATACGTACACTTACAGTGTAGCTGTGTGATAACTCGGTGTACGTACACTTACAATGTAGCTGTGTGATAACTCGGTGTACGTACACTTACAATGTAGCTGTGTGATAACTCTGTGTACGTACACTAACAGTGTAGCTGTGTGATAACTCGGTGTCGTACACTAACAATGTAGCTGTGTGATAACTCGGTGTACGTACACTCACAGTGTAGCTGTGTGATAACTCGGTGTACGTACACTAACAATGTAGCTGTGTGATAACTCGGTGTACGTACACTCACAGTGTAGCTGTGTGATAACTCGGTATACGTACACTTACAGTGTAGCTGTGTGATAACTCGGTGTACGTACACTTACAGTGTAGCTGTGTGATA